TTCTAGATATTTCCATATAAAAAATTCTTTATTTGTTTTATATGAGTTTTGGCTTTATTTAATTTATAATGAGAACTATATCCACAAGTTGCAGAATTGGCAGAAGAGTTATACAAACATCAATCAATATCAACTATAACAAATCTTGCGTCACACCAATGAGATCATCCATGTCCATATGATTGAATAGAGATGGAAAACTGATTGGGGAAATTTATATTAATTAAAGACCATAACTTGAGCTAGGCTGCTTACATTCTGACCTTGAGAGCTATAGATCTATATCCTCAGTCGTGCCGAAAGAATGGTATAAAGCTTGTTAAAGGAAGGGTTATTTGATTAATCGGGCCGTCTTATGACTTATGCTTGATAAAATAGGAATTGGATCCCTGGACAAATAGTGGGATACTCATGATCACATAATACAAATCGTTAGATTTTGATCCAACGGCAACAATTATTATAATTTTTAAAAGAACTTCTTTGTTTGTAGCCGTTTGCCCCATCATTTGTTCAGAAAGAGATCCAATTCCGATAAAATAGATTCATCATCATTATGATTCGTAGAAACACAAATAATAAAGAAAAGAAAAGAAAATCCGATGAACCAGTTTTTAATCCTTATTGTTTACTTTCGTTTCTTTCTTGGGCTTTTTTAATTTTTATTATTTCCAATTATAACTTTATAAGGGAAGGTTTTGAACATTGAACCTAGCACATATAATGCCTATTATATATGCTACCTCCCCACCATTACCATTATAATTTGATTAAAATAATACACCACATAGTTATATCCAGGAAACCAAAAAATCTTCAATTAAAAGTGCCCAGAATTCATTTCAAATTAATCACAAATGATAGAAAGTAAATTTCAATGCTTCAAAACATCAAGTCATAGAGTTCACCATGTTACAAATTTCATTCTTCATCGTAGCTAGAAGCAAGAAATTTCTAACAAAACACTACACCTATCCATGTTCTTTTATGAAAGTTGACAATTGCTCATTTAGTTGTTTGAAATATAAACTATTCCGATAGAAAGCTACGTCTGGAACACAATAGTTTGGAATATATATAAATCAACCAATTAGATCAACTTATTTTACCAAATAGTGCGTCACTCCAAGGTGGTCACCCATGTTTATTAACTAAAAATATTTACACACATATATTGAACTACTAAAATAAAGACTTATGAATGTGAACGTACGAAATGTGACGCAAGACAAGTAAACGGTTTCAAGTTGTGTTTTATCTTTTCCAGTGTTGGTTGCATCGCATGCTTTATGCGGGCTTATAAATAGGATAGCTGGTTTGGAGCTGTTTACACTTAAAATATGCGCAATTTTACTTATATGGGCCTAAAGTTAAAATATGTTATTTGGAAGATTATTGTGCAAAAAGGCTAACTTGTAAGATATTTAGGTTTGGTTTGGTATTGAAGTAATTCTGAGAAAAGCTGGTATCAAAAAAAGCTGGGAGCTGTTTTTGTGTTTGGTAAACATTCAGCTTCAATTTTTTTTTTCACAGTTTTGGGTGAAAAAAAAGCCAAAAACAAGAAATTGCAAAACTCAGCTTTGAAAAACCAGCTTTTTCACATTTGTTTTATATAAAAGTTTACCAAACACTATAATATTGCCTTTTTTTTTTTTTTTTTTTTCAAAAGCACTTTTACAAAAAAGTTTACCAAACACTCTACTGCTTTATTTCACAGCTGCTTATTCTCACATCACAGCAGAAACAGTTTTTTTTTATCAAAACACGGCAATACCAAATCAACCCTTAGTTGCATGGGATGGTTTGATATTAAAATAATGTTTTTCCTTTTTGTTTGGACGGTGAAGGTGTGCCAAAAGCATTGTTTAATCAAAGACAATTGCATTGCATGCTTTGCAAGTGGATTGGAAGGCAAAGTGAAGTCATGCTTCTGCAGGTTGCATCTCCGTGCAGCACCTGTGTTTTGTTAGAAACAATCATATGAAGAAGACGTGTCCTTTGCCTTTTAAAATAAAAATAATCGATACTAAACGGCGTCGTTTGGGCATAAAAATATTTATAAAAAAAGAAAAGAAAAAGAAAAATAAAAAGAAAAACACAACAGAAGGGGGACCACTCGTCCCTATTTATTAACCTCACATTTACTTCCCCAATTCCCACCTCACTGCCATGCCTTCTGCCTTTTTTAATTTAAATTACTAATTCATAGTTTAACATAAATATTTGCTTAATTGACATTCTTTATAAGAATTATAGGGTACTATGGATATTGATTATTGATTAATAAGTAAATTTTCAGGCAAAATTTAGCCGCCATTTTTCGAAAGAGTACAACTTTTGTTAAAATTTGATGCTTGGAAGGGGCTGACACATCAACTATTGATTAAAGTTGCAGTTTTTATCTTAAAAAAAGAAGAAGTTAATGTTTATTAGGTAGATATGTTTGCAAAAAACTCAAATTGGTACGATAAGGTTCTCTGTTTTCACATTTGGCATATCACACTACAGTGGCTTGTATCAAATATAGGCTTTGTTTGGATTCTAGGATTGGATTTGAATAGACACACATATAAATTCAGTCCTCTAGACCAGATGAGGCCATATAGTATTATGATCAAAGAGATGGACATCACTGCAATGCCCCTTTCCCTTAAAGCTATCGAATAATTAGCAAATTTATGGCATAAATTTTCATCGGCAACAGTTGTAACTTGTTTGTTTTGATAATATATGAGCGAAATTAATATTATCTATTATCTAAAAGAATTTGGTTGTCTACATTTATTTTGGAACCTTTTACTCTTTTAATTTTCGCCCCTCCCTCCGACAAATCCTAACTTTGCCATTGGTTAGCCACCATCTTTGATGGGTGAGAAGTAGTAAAATGAAAGCTTCGTTCAGATTTGGTTCTCAAATCAAATTGAATAGCTGAGGTTGGAAGAAGTATGTAGAAATTTGCTTTTGCAGCTTGCCCGAATGTCCGACAGGACTTTCGGGGTGGTTCGGTATGGGATCCCATACCGAAACCATTGTCCCGATTCCCAAACCGAAATTTTTGGGAATTCCAAATTCAATCCCAATCCCAAACCAAATTTTCGGGAATCCCAATTTTCGGGAATCCCGAAATAATTTCGGGATTTCGGGACAAATCGGGAATCCCAAAATGCTTTTGGGCTTTTGGACTAAAATTTGACATATTATAAAGTAATAAATAAAGTAACAAACTCAAAAGCAAAAATAGTAGTTACAAGCCAAGGTTTATAAATAAAGTAACAAACCCAAAATCAAAAAAATTAGTTATGAGCCAAAATTGTGTTGTATTCTCCTCACCTCCCAAATTAGCCGTGTCTAAAACAATAAGCCACAAATCAGTTACATTGAATTATAGTCTAATAGATAATAAATATTAAGAAAATAAAAGAGGAAATTAAATTGTTTACAACTAATAAATAATGAATAATTCAAATACAAACTTTTCATATCACTAACTATTAGTACTAGTTAGAACTTAAACTACATCAAATATTAAGGTGCATCAATTATAACTATCAGTATACCCTTTATTAACCTCCCTATAGTGAATTACACCACATCAGTTATATTAATTAGTTTTATTAATGTACTAGTTTATCAATTAACAATATGCATGCACAATATTAAGGTACTAGTATAATATATGTATACTGATATATATAATCAAACTTTTCTGATGAACTTAAACTAATATCCAAAGATTAATCACATTAGTTGAGACAACTGGAATATAGAAACAACCAAAAGATTAATCATATTTATTTCAATTCGGTATGGGAATACCGAAAAAATGGAGATGGAATACCGAATCCCATACCGAAAATTTCGGTTTGGTTCGGGATTACATACCGAAAATTTCGGGAATTTTGGTTTGGGATTTTTTTGGTTTGGGATCGGGATTTTTTCGGTTTGGTTTGGGATTTTTGGGATTTTTTTCCAGCCCTAGGACTTTGCATTTGCCCAATGTAAGTTTTACTCTCTCTCTCTCTCTCTCACTCTCTCTCTCTCTCTCTTTTGTCCTTCTCCTTTTCTTTCTCTCTTCTGTTCCCTTTTGCCCAAAAAAAGGTCCCCTCTCTCTTTCTATTTTTGTTCCTTTTTATTATTGATCTCTCTCTCCCTTTTTTCCTTTTCTTTTTCTCTCTTTCCCTTCCTTTCTCTTTCTCCATGTCTCTCTCTCAATGTTTGTTTTCTACTTTACCCAAATAAGCTATATATATTATATGAAAAAGAGACAAAAAAAAAAAAAAAAATCTGAGCATAGTTACCCGAAGTCTCTATCTTCTTCCTCTTCCCATTTATTTTTCTTTTTCCTTTCTCTTTCTCACTCTTTCTCTATATTTTCCAGTTTACCTGACTTCGGGCATTTTTCCAATTTATCATCTCTGTAACTAGCAAGGACGCTACCATGTTTGTTGTTGGTATCAATGAGAAGGAATACAAGCCAGACAACAACATTCTTTCCAGTGCTAGTTGCACTACCAATTGCCTTGCTCCTCTTGCCAATGTTATCAACGACAGGTTAGGAATTGTTGAGGGTCTTATGACCACGATGCACTCCATTACTGCCACCCAAAAGACTGTTAACGGTCAATCACAGAATGACCAAAGAGGTGGACATGCCGTTTCCTTCAACATTATTCCCAGCAGCATTAGAGTTGCTAAGGCTGTTGGAAAATGAGGCTTGAGAAAGTTGCAACCTATGAACAAATCAAGGCTACTACCAAGAAGGAGTCTAAGGGCAAGTTGAAGGGTATCTTGGGTTACACCTGAAAATGATGGCGTGTCAATTGACCTCATTGGTGACAGCAGGCAGGCCCAGCCCAGGCGCAATGCAACCGAGGCAATTGTCTAGGGCCTAAAGTTAAAAGGGGCACCCAAAAAACAAAATCCAAATAATTAGGTATAAATTTTTTTTTTCTTGTCCAAAGCCCAAAATAAAGGTTTGAGGGAATAACTTGTCCAGGTTCTGGGGATTAAAAAATAATATAACATAAAGGGGATCTGGAAGGTACAAGTCGTCAGGTTTTGGGCATGGAGGAGAGGTATAGGATTCAAGTTTTTCAGAGGGAGCTCCCTCTCTGCTTGGAGCTTGTCACCCAACTGTCCAAGCCCAAGGTATTACGGAGAGCACATACCCTTTTCAAATTTCAGCTTAATTTTTGTTTTCTGAGTCAGAAGCTTTGTTTCTTTTGCTTGAATTGTTCTGGTTTCTGTTTTCAAAATTAGAGTTTTTCGGTAGCTATTGAGAGGTGCAAGCAGCAGATTTCAGATGCAACTGCAGATTACATGCATGGAAAATCTGAGTGTTCTGAGCAGACTTCAAGTGAGGGGCATGTTTTTGAGAAATTCATTCCATTAACAAGGATTTCATACAACTCCAGATGCACCACTCAAAGAGGTATAAAAAAAAGACTCCACCTTCATCAATATTAGTAAATTTTGTGACTGCCCTTTTGTTTGGTTGCTTATAAAATTTAAGGTGAAGAAGTTGAAAGTATTGATTTTTAGGCATAGGGTAATGGCAGGAGGATCAAGTTAAAGGCTATAGTGGTGGAGATGAAGAGAAATGGGGTGCTTTTCAACCTTTCAAAAGGGGAAAAAAGCATTGGAAAGACAAATGGACCAGTGGCTAAAGAACCTTCTTCGGCTTCGGTTACTAGTTCCACCACGGACACCGTGAGTGGAGGAAGTGGTGGGAACAACAAGAAAGAAAAGAAAGATGGACAGGGAAACAAAGGCAAAACTGGTCACCGGAGTTGCACCGCCGATTCTTGCATGCTCTTCTCTTCAACAACTTGGTGGTTCACATGGTATGCAGTTGAGATTAATTTAGTGGGATATGTTATTTTATATGATTGGATGAATATGTGATTAGATTGGGATGTATTGGATGTGTTTAATGTGTTCTGCGTATGTGTGATTTTTCATCTTTTTTTAATCATAATTTTGTTGATGTGAATAAAATTTTACACATACATGACAGAAATTGGAAGGCATTTTGCATGCTACTAGTGATGAATTTTTTACATATACATGTGATTATCCTCGCAAAATATTTATTTTAAACAAATGTTTCTGTATTAAAAAGGGCACATTTTGGGCTTTCGCACTGGGCACCAAAAAACTCAGGACCGGCCTTGACAGCAGGTCAAGCATCTTTCGTTGCTTCGAATCCCATATCAGAAGGCCCTCACCAAGGAGCCCAGAATTCAACCAAAACAGGGGATTCCGAATTAAAGACAATTGATTGCCATGCTACATCATTAGAAGCAAGCACTTCAACGGCAGTGTCCTGAGCCTCGCAAACGACACTCCACCATAGCGGCTTGTTCATCCAGAATGTGGGACTATAACTCAATGATCCGACGGAGCAAGTTCAAAGAGTTGATTAGCAAGGCAACCGAGAGCCCGTGGACTAGGACGACAACGACGATGAAGTCAAAGACTACAACCGTGGCCGCAGAGGATTGCCTGATTGAATATCTTAACCGATGGGCTATTTGCACATAGGGTTGGTGCCCAATGAAGCTATTATCTTGCTTGACAGGCATGTCTGACTTTTCTGCTGCTCTTTCACATCATCGCCGGATGACTCTGTGGGCCTTATCAACCTTCTCTAATGCTTACAATCAAATCTTATCCTACTTTAGCAACCACCATCAACAGCCGCGCCAAGAGTTTTTGTTGTGGTTAATTCTTGAAGACCTGTTAGCCGTCAGATTTTATATGTGTTCACTTGAGTTCGTGGTTAAGAAGTATAAAGTTAGAGCTTCATTTGAACTTGGGTTCCCAAATCGAACTGAAAATTTGAATATGGATGAGCATTGAAAAGTCATAGCAAACAAAGCTGCCCTTTATGATCAGTACATGGCTTGAAGGCTTCCACTCATTGTGCCTTTATTGTCATGGTGGACTTTCGAATATTCCCATTTGCTACAAGAGAAAATATGGCTTAGTGGTGAGGCTTTTTTCATGTGTTCTTCATGCTTAATGTTTCTTATGCCTGTTATCATCAATCTTCTGGAAGAGCATATTGGAGTTGTAAGTTGTACAAACTTTGCTCAAATTTGTAATACTTGGGGGGCTTATGTTTGCACCTAAAATATGCACAATTTTACTTATTTGGGCCTAAAGTCAAAATATGGCATTTGGAGGATTATTGTTCAAAAAGGCTAACTTGTAAGAGATTTAGATGCATCAAGTGGGATGGTTTGACATTAAAATAATGTTTTTCCTTTTGTTTGGGTGGTGGAGATGTGCCAAAAACTTTGTTTAATCAAGACAATTGCTTGATTTCCCATTGCAAGTGGATTGGAAGGCAACATGCGGACATTTGGGTAGTAGACATGTGGAGGAAAGAAACTAACTTAATTCTTTTAAATATTAATCTATTGCAAGTAAGATTAATAGACATGTGGTGGAAATGTGAGTTGGCCTCTTTTAATATTATTTCATATGCAAGCTGGTCGTGGATTTTTCTCCACAGGTTCAATGTTCTTAGCAAGTGGGTCTCTCTTAGTTCTCTATATAAAGAAGCAGAGGCAAAATGATTATGGACACTCAACCAATCAATCAAGCAACTCTACTCAAATCATCTCCTTAATTTCCGTGTGAACTTTTACTTTTAGCCAAGCAACATTTACTTTCCTTGTTTTTAGCTCTGCTGCTCACTCGGTAGTATCGATGTCCCTTGTATTTTTATTTACAACCTTCAAAGTCATTTCCCAAACCACCAAAAATTGCCACAAGACTAGAGCAGCTTGCCCGAACCATTGGGAACAAGCTCGAACCTTGTATTTGGCATCCTTATGTACTTATAATGCTTTGTACTTTATATAATTACATTTATGTACAACTCATTCCAGTCATTTAATTTACAAGCAATCTATAATACCAATCATTTACTTTCCTCTATCATTTACACTTCCAGCAAACTTGCCATTTACATATTATTACATTTCTCCACATAAGTGAAATCCTTATCTTTAAGGCAAAGAAAGAACCTTGATTTGAGCCACTCCCACTCAATAACACAATCTCTTGGTTAGAAGTCGTACTCATGCGCAATCTCAAGCATTCAAATCCCGTCTACTAGCTGCATCTAGTAGTGGCACACTCACACCCACCAATTTCTTGTTCGAGTAAATTCATGCCATGCCCGAGAGGCCCATGACGAATTTAGGGGGCGAACAGGAGCAAGTAGAATGCAAAGAAAAATGCACGAGAGAAGTGAGAGATAAGAGAGAATAAATCATCCCAGTTAGTTAAAATGGCAGGACTTCCAAGGTTTTTTGCGTTGAAATCAAACCACAGCAAAAATTGCTTGCGCATCATAAATCAAAACATCGGGCAATATCGTGGGATTGTCCAGTTCTCGGAAGCTGATGTTAACAGCTCACGCGCAAGGTTCGAAGTGGAGAGGGCCGACGGTAACGGTGAACTTGTGCATATTAAATGCGCTACCAACGGCAAATACTTGAGAAGAGGTGACGAATGGGGGCGCTGGATTGTGGCCGCGGGTGAAGAACCAGAGGAAGATCAAGGCCATTGGGCCTGCACTTTGTTTCTAGCCTCAGATTATCCATAAAGACAACAAAGCAGACATCAGTTTACTCCACGTGGCACTGCGGCGTTATGTAAGGTTGTACACTGTAAACCAGGGCGACGCATTGATCGAAGGAGTACTCCCCACGGGCATGGAACGTCTTGCAGAGGGAGCCGCTGCTAACAACTTCAATCAATGCCTCTACGCAGACGAGAGAGGCACCAACCTTGAAAACCGTGTGGTTCAGTTCACAGTCATAGACTTGGATCCACTCGCACTACCTGACACTTTTGTACTGAAATCAAACAGCTGCGACAAATACTTGAGCAACATACTTGATGAAGAAAACCAAAATCATGAGATTGTTCAATTCGCCGGAGAGGATCCTAAGAGGGAGCATTCAATCTTCCAAGTAGAGCAGGCAAACAGTAAGGACTATCAAGAGAATCCTTACGCGCACATCAAATGCTTGTACAACAAGTATTTGAGAAGGATGGACGTAGACAAGCAATTGATCATGGCAGTGGCTGACCGACGAGATAAAAGCACAAAAAGTTGGGGTTGCACGTTGTTCAAGCCTAGCGTGTCGGACAGGCCAGCAAAAACCACAACAACATGCTCTGCTATTTGCACCACGTGCAAAGCGGCCTCTACACAAGGCCATTCGTCGAGAATAGATTCGAATTACGCCTCAGCGACGAAAAACCTGACTCCCATGAAGCGGATGTCTACACAGCCATCCGCAGCCTTCCATGATAATTATTCATCAGTATCATTTGATGTTTGTGGGTAATGTCTTTGAAAACCTTCACGAGACTTCACTCGTCCCATTAGACCGGTCACCTAAGGGTTTAAAGACCTATTCCTTGTGCTACAATATGCATGCGTCGTGTTCCTTGTGAAAGTGATAATATCATTTTATCACTAGTTGCATTCCTGTTTCTTGTTTTTAATTTAACTTCAATTGGTCTGTATTAAAGCAATAATCACACATCCTATGTGTGTGGAAAGGTATTTGTGTACTATTGTTTTTTAATTGTTGTCCAATCAGGTTGTGTCACTTAACATTTTAATTAACAAAAGAATGATGTATTATTCAAACAATACTTTTTTATATCACATATTTGACAACTTTATTTATCTTAAAATTCACTATAAATTCATACGATCTCTTAAAAGTATTTCGAAAAGTACTACGAACTTGTAATCACTTGAACTTTCATCTCATATTCATACCATCAAATTCACTAAAATACTAAGAAAAAATTATGATATTTTTGTATGTTATTGTCACGCCACGAACCCAAGTTCGGTAATAAAAACTCGAACCTGAATCCGAAACGTGAGTTAAAAGCTCAATCAATAAAAGGAAATTGACACGGGTTGAAAAATGAACTCCTCTTATTAAAATAACTCCAAAATCCTTACAGGGTGTACAAAAATAGTAAATTAAAAACTCTTACATCCCTCATCTAACACAACCTCACTTCGTTTATCACCTATCTTGCCAAATAACTCATCTGTAAAATAAAAGGTGAGGGGTGGGCAACAACCACTATCGCTCAGTAAGTAGAATATGTAATATGCCAGTCAAGCGATGCCTTTTTACACACTCTAGAAAATATAATAATAATATCAAAGTTTTAACCACGTAATTTCATATCACATCATCCCTTTACGTGTTCATTACATCCTTCATAAATTGTAACTCACCACGTGACCCCTACTGACCTTTCCGCCCTAATGTCCTCATGTGCAGTTTACATTTATCCCTCGGATTAATGCAACACTAAAGTTCTCATGCTCCATGAACATATCCAAATAATCCACATCACCATATTAATAATTCCAAAAGCATTTCAACAAATCCAACATGCTTGACTTAAAATAGATAGAGATTTATAAATAGATAAAACCCACAATAGGTTGTGGTTTTCATTTATCAGAAAATAAGAATACTTTGAAACACATTACGTAAACCACTCATCTTAATTATCAGAACCTTGGCAAAACAACCCAACTAACAAGATCAACCCATCAAACTCCAACTCTAAACTCTCTTTCTTTCTACATGAACACCAACACTTTGCATGCTCTTCATGTTGCCTTATTTCTAATAAAAAAGGAGCAAAGCTCCTATTTATAGGTTAGGGAAGCCGGCAACAACTTAGTTGCAAATGGATAGTTTTGGCAGTCTCAAATGCAAGGATAAACTGGTGTCCTAAAATCTTTCCACACAGCCACTTTTTGATGAAGACTAAGCAACCTATAGTGCTTATTCATCAAACCTATAATCACACGTGTAAGAAATACAAGTGTCTAAGCACTTAAACATATCCACCCTTGCCACCTCCAAGTTCCATGTTGCACCATTAATTACCAATAAAATTAGCATCAAAACTCTAAATAAATATTTATTTTTAAAATACAGCGTCTCACAGTTATACAGTAAATAATAAACCTAATTAAAATAATAGACCAAATTCTTAGTACGAGTACTAGAAAAACTGCCCTCACTTTGTTGCGTGTTTTGAAACAATAATCCACAACAACTATGAATCATTTCCAGAGAAGATACAAAATTTGGATAACAACACCTAGCATTGAATTGATACTCAAAAGTCAGCAAAAAGACAACACATTCTCAAATACATCAGTCTAGGCAATGCACATTTTACTTCAGTAACCCCACAAAACTACAAATCAACACAGCTATTTGCAAATAATTCAAAAACTAAATAGACAGCTGAACCAACATGGTAATATATGTATTTGGTTTGCATTTACATTCTATTTACTTTACATCAAGAGCCCAAACGGGAAGATTTCAAAAACAAAACGAGTATGATCATTGTGTTCCATTAATTACCTAAAATTCAAAAGTTTACACTCATTAGTACGTTGAAAAAACCTAACTACATTTCATTAAACTAAATTTTTTATAGAATATGAGGAGTACATAATTTGTATTGTTTAAATGGAAATAGAATAACAAACAACATCATTCACTACCCATTTTATTAGGTAGTAATTTCCTCCAACTGCAATTGGTGAGATTGTAGGAAAACTTCGAGTAAAGCCTTCAACTATCCCTAATAGACAAAGTTTACCTGAGCAAATTACGGACAAAGCTAAATATTCAAATGCATTGAAGTGGAAAACAAAGTACAATTCGAGGACGAATTGAATCCTTCAGTGAAACTTTTAAAACTTTGCCTTCTATATATGGATATGCCTCCTAGAAGAAACATTTGATTTGTAGATTGTACTGCATCATCAGTATTATACTTATAGTTTCAAGTAATCAGCCTACTACATGGGGAAGATACATAAAAGAGAAAGTAGAAGAGTAGAAGACAATACTTGAGCATCTAGTAGGAATAGTAACTTTCTAAAGAAGAAAAAAAGTGTTAAACCGTCTTACAAATTCAATCATTAAACGTTATACTATGATCCAAGATAAAGTATATAGTTCATTTACAAACCAAAACAAAGTGCTATCAAAGAAAAATGATTAAGATGTTGAAAATACAAAACTGGATTGGGTAGCCATATCTTTTATTTGGTAATTAAACGAATAATTTAGAGTGATACAAATCCGATTCAAATCTAATTAAGGGAAGGGGGAGGGTTGAACCCGGCAGTGAGATTAATACGAAGGCCTTAACCACTGGGGAAGCGACAAAATATAAGCTTAATCGACAAAATTTAAGCTTAATCAAAAGTTTAATTACCTTTTCATTTTTTATAGTAAGCACAACCTTTTGTCTTCCCTTCTGCAGGCTATCGATGATTCAGTTTCCATCTCTAATGCATGATTTTTCTTTTCCTGTCAAGAAAAAAAGAAGCCAAATTAGTTTTCCAGAAATTAAAGAACCCAAATTTAGTAAAAAAATACCAGAAAAATTAGACCTTTGAGCAGAAGAAAGCAGGGAGGAGCAGCTGAGGAAGACGAACCAATGGGAAGTAAGAATCTAAAATAATTCATAAGTTCCAATAACATTTTTTTCACCAAGTGCTCAACCAAATTTCATTAACCTAAGTGTTAAACAAAATTTTCATCATTCTCTTAATAGTTTTCCTTTGTCTTGTAAGACTTAAACAGTTTTCAGTTCATATTCTCCAACAGCTGGATCTCTGAGGAATGTTCAATCATGTAAAGGCAAGTTCTTCCAATTAAGGCAAAATCCAAGACAACCATAAACTTCCAAAAACTACTGTTTCCTGACACTGACCAAATTAATTAAGAAATCCCTCAAAAACCAATTGTATATAGCGTTTAAGGAAAAAAAATCGATATAACTTCCAAATATTGTTATAGATGTTTGATAAAAGAATTGAAAAGCTTAAATAAAAATAAAACATACATATGCATGCATGTGTATGGTGTAGGAACAAAGAAACAATGATGGCCTTTTAGCTTGGTGGTGACTAATATTTAAGCAGCCCTCTGGTTTTGTAGTCACATTGGTGTGTGAAATGCAGTGAAAATTCATGCATGAAGCGTTCACCTTTTCCCTTCCTGCATGAAAAGATAGATAAATATAAATAACCATTATTCCAGATAAAAGGGAAGATTTAAAACGCATATATTCAAACTATGTAGCTTGAGATGAGAGGAGAATTGAAAGCATCATCAAACGAAAACTGCAGAAAAATCTAACTAAAAGTAAAATAACCTTGGTTAACAGAAGCAGTTTAGCACCCAAATAAAATTGGTAGAACAACGAATATAAGTCAAAATGTGGAGGAAAACAACAAAAGCAATCAAGCAACAAATTATACCAATACTTAAACAAAACCCCACCATCATTAAAATTCAAATTAGGAAAAGGTTAGAGAAAAATGACCTGATCGATTGGGTGCATGGAACTGGTGCAGACGGGGAATTCCGTATAATTTATAAATATTGTACAAATATGAGAAACAAAGATGGTTAGGGACAGATTAAGTCGATTAGAGAAAACAGACATGGTTAGTTGAAAGAGGCAATCTACAAACACAAATTACCAATAAATATTCTCATATCGAAAATTTAGCACCAATTGAAAGAGGAAATCCATACAGAAGTTGAGAAACTCACCATTTATAATAAGCATACACACAGATACCTGAAAAGCACCAAAGGGACGAACACAGATTCTGCAATTAAGCACCAATTGAAGAGCGAATTTAACCGGTTATAGAGAATCACCATTCTTCAACCAATTGCAAATGTCTGCCCTGCTTTTTCTTTATACTCCTTGTTTGGCTCTTTTATACCTTCAATCCACAAACCTTCTTGTATTTAGTAAAACTTAGTAAAACAAATGCTTATAATCGGTTTATTTGGTGGGAAACTTCATATTGAGAAACATAAACAAAAATTTTAAAAGTACCTTATGATATTTTTTTCAAAGACAACCATACAAAGATGAAGATGTGAATCATGTGATGTAATTTTTGTTTGGGGTAATCTCAGTTTACTACTTAGAAGTTTCTTGATTTCAATCTTTCATACATCAAGTTTTTTTCGTCCTAGTCTGGTACCTAAAGTCCTAATTCTGAAACATTTTCATACATCTGTTAAATTTTTCGTCAAAATCTCTGTTAACTGATGATATGGTACTCGTATGAACAATGACAGGATGTCACGTGTCAATATAAGTCCATGTGGATATTAAAAAAATTATAAAAAAAAATTTGTCTTCCCCCTCCCACCACTTCCGCGCACCCTCCTACTCTTCCATTTCCCAAAACCCCACTTCCCTCTGTAGAATCCCCAAAACCCTGCCCAAACCAAAACCGACCTCCAAATTCGTCCTCTTCACCCTCACCTTCTTACTCCATTTCCCAACCCCATCAAATCCTCTGAACCCCAAAACTCCGCCGCAGTGATATGCACGAATTCTCAGATTTCCTAACTCAACCTACAAACAGCAATGGCGATGGCAGAATAGCAAGGAAGGAAGAGCTAGAGAGAGAAAGAAATGTTTTTGTAATATATTTCTTTTCTGAATATAACCGTTACTCATTTTCTTTCACAATTGGCTACATATATTGTTCCCCAAACACTTAAAGCTAGTTGGCATAACTAATCACTTAACAACTTAATTAAAATACTTATTTAATTGCTAAACTATGATTAAGATAATCACAAATATAACATTGCCTCACCTTCAATTAAACTTTGTCCTCAAGGTGTTGTTTTACCACTTGAATTATGGAAATTTTGTAGTGAACTCATCATAATCTTCTCAAGTGGATTCATCAGCATTCTTGTCCTTTTACTGGATGACAGTTGAACCTCAGTTGCATTGTTCTTCTTGTTGACCCTTCTTTATAGCACTGTTGCTGGTTCTTGAGCTTGTAGTCCATCATCAGTCATTAGTGGTAACAGTGGTACATGATTAACATCAGGACCCACATGTTTCTTTAAGCAACTGACAGGGAAGACTGGATGTATCTTAGAAGTCTCAGGTAGCTTTAGCTTGTAGGCCACACTACCAACTTTCTTCAATACTTCAAAGGGGCCACAGAATTTAGGGTGAAGTTTATGGTAGGCATGAGTTGCTAGTGACTGTAACTAGTAGGGAATAACCTTCAAGTAGACCAAATCTCCCACATCAAAAGTTCTGTCACTTCTATGTTTATCAGCATGCACTGTCATTCTGTTTTGAGCAATAATTAAATTGGTTATAAGCATTGTCAACATCTTGTCTTTTGCAATCAATCCTTGTTCAACACTCTCCAATTTAGCAGAACCAAGCTCATAATAGGCAATGTGTGGAGGAGGAAAGCCATAGAAAATTTTGAAATGTGTGAACTTAGAAGTAGTGTGAAATGAAGTGTTATAGCTCCATTTAGCCTAAGGAAGCCACTGGAGCCACTTCTTGGGTTGGCAGCTAGTAAAGCATTTCAAATAGGTTTCTAAATATCAATTAACCACCTCCATCTGCCCATCACTTTGGGGGTGATAACCCGAACTCATGCATAACTTCGATCTTTATAGTCTAAAAAACTCCCTCCTAAGGAAAATGGTATCTCTATCACCCACTATGTTCAGTGGCATGCCATGTAACTTAAAGATGTTTTCCACAAATTCTTGTGCTACCATACTATTAGTGTATGGATGTCCCAAGTGTAACATCCCACATCGCCCAAAGAAATGGATCCTATAAGCTTTATATGTATATTCTCATCTCCATATAGCACGAGGCCTTTTATGAGCTCACTGGCTTCCAGTTCCATGGGAACTCCGAAGTTAAGCGAGTAGCGCGCGAGAGCACTCCTATGATGGGTGACCCACTGGGAAGTTCTCGTGTGAGTTCCCAGAAACAAAACCGTGAAGGCATGGTCAGGGCCCAAAGCAGACAATATTGTGCTACGGTGGTAGAGCGAGCCCAAGATGTGGTGGACCCTGGGCCGGGATGTAACACCAAGGCTATGAAATGCCCATAGTTAGAAAGCCTATCCACCATCACCAAAATCACTGACTTTCCCTTGTATGAAGGCAAACCACTCCTATGATGGGTGACCCACTGGGAAGTTCTCGTGTGAGTTCCCAAAAACAAAACCGTGAAGGCATGGTCAGGGCCCAAAGCAGACAATATCATGCTACGGTGGTGGAGCGAGCCCAAGATGTGGTGGACCTTGGGCCGGGATGTAACACCAAGGCTATGAAATGCCCATACTTAGAAAGCCTATCCACCACTACCAAAATCACTGATTTTCCCTTGTATGAAGGCAAACCACAAATGAAATCCATACTTGTATCTGTCCATGCTTGATGTGGTATTGGAAGAGGCTGCAATAACCCCAGTAGTGATATTGTTTCATAGTTATTTTGTTGATAAGTCATGTATTTAGCCACCCAAGTGTTATGTCTTTTTTCTTCCAAACCCAATAAAAACCTTTTTTCAATCTTTGGTAAGTCTTCAATACCCTTTCATGACCTGCTATAGGGGTGAAGTGATGTTTCTCAAAAACTTTTCTCCTCCAACTGGAATAAACCCCCAAGACAATCTTATGTTTGTATTTCAAGAAGCCGATATCCATGTGATACTTAGAGGCAGTGACAATAGTTCCAGAAGCTTTATCTTGTGCCTCTACTTCTTGCTTCTTTAATCTAACCTAAGGATCTTTGTTCTAAATCTCTCCCGAGGTCATCCAACCAACCGAAATATGGATAAGTGACTGCTAGTAATTCTCTTTTCTCCTCCAAAGGTAGCTCAGAGAGAAGTGTGAACCTGGAACCTGAGAGAGAGCATTTGCCATAATATTTTCCTTGCCATGTCTATATTATACCTCATAATTGAACCCCAACAGTTTGGATACCCATTTTTGTTAGAATGGGGTGTCGATTCTTTAACTCAAGAAATATTTCAGACTGAAATAGCGTTCTTGGAGGTAACTTTGCCACTTTTTAACTACATAAACTATGGTAATTAACTTTCTTTCATATGTTGACGATGCCCAGTCTCGTGGACCTAAAGTTTGGCTGGCAAAAGCAATAGGCCTCCCATGTTGCTGCAAAATTGCTCTAATACCTAAACCAGAAACATCAAACTCAACTATAAAGGGTTCTGCAAAGTTGGGTAAAGCGAGCAATTAGGGTGAAGTTATGGCTTGTTTCAATTGCTGGAAGGCAGCCTCAGTTGCGTATGTCCAAAGGAACCCTTCACTTCCAGTGAGTTTGTATAATGGTTGGCAGATTTTGCCATAGCCAAGTATAAATTTTTTGTAGTAGCCTGTTAAACCCAAAAATCCCCTCAATTCCTTCACATTCTTAGGAGCAGGACACTCAAATATTGCTTGGATTTTTTTGCAGAATCCGCAAAGACTCTCTCACTGGATACTATGTGGCCTTGGTAATCGACTTGGTGTTGCACAAAAGAACACTTTTGTTTCTTGACAAACAGTTGATATTGTTGTAACAATTCCAAAGTTTTTTGCAAATGCACTAGGTGTTTCTCCCAAGACTGACTATAGATCAAAATGTCATCAAAGAACACAAGGATAAACTTTCTTAAGTGAGCCTTAAAGATGTCATTCATGAGGCTTTGAAATGTTGCAGGGGCATTAGTGATAACAAATGGCATAACCAGGAACTCATAATGTCACTCATAAGTTCTAAAAGGTGTTTTCTCAATGTTATTCTTATGCATTCAAATTTGGTGGTAGCCGAACTCGAGATCAAGCTTAGAAAAATATTTAGCTCCATATAAGTCATCCAAAAGATTATCAATCAGTGGAATATGATACTTGTCCTTGATTGTGAGGCTATTCAATTCTCTATCATCCATGCATAACCTTCATGTCCATTCCTTTTTCTTCACCAACAACACTGGGAATGAGAATGAACTGTGACTAGGCCTAATGAACCCTAAACTGAGAAGTTCTTGTATTGCTTTCTCAATTTCATTTTTCTGTACAGAGCCATAATGGTAAGGCCTAATGCTTGGAGGCTTAGTACCCTGGAGAAGTGGGATTTTGTGATCATATGCCCTATGGAGGCAACTGTGAAGGAATATGAAACACTACCTTAAATCTCATTAAAACTGCCTATAACTTTTTCATTTATTGAGCACTTAGTGTGCTAGTATCCCCTGGTTTATACTCTAATGAATACAATAAGACCCCCAAGTTGGAATGATAGAATTCCCTATTAAGCTGCTATAATGACATTTCTTGGATAGCAAGCTGTGGTGGTATATTATGTGACAGTTTAAACTTACCTTTGCCCACTTGAAACTCCATTGGGAACAATTGAAAATCTCAGAGTACCGGACTCATAATAGATAACCATTGCACTTCCAACATCAAGTCACAACTTGCCAAATGCAATGCAAACAAATCAGTGTGACAATGGTATCCTCCTAATTCCAAAGGAATGTGTCTACAATAACCCTGACTTTTGATTTTTCCTCCATCTGCAATCATTACTTCAAATGTTTTGTTTTTTTGTAAAGACCACCCCAACTTCTTAGTGAACCTAGAATCAATGAAGTTGTGGGCAGTACCTATGTCTAAGAGGATTCGCACAGGTTGGTTATTAACATTGCCTAAAACGTTTATAGTTTGCAGGGAGTGTTCAACATTCATGCCATAAAATGCACATTCACTCAGTGTCATTCCTTGCAATTTAGCTTGCACAACGTCGTCATTGTCCTTACACAAGTCCTTATCATCACATGCATCTAACAAAAGCAACTATTTATGCATGCATTTATGCCCTCAGACTTATTTCTCAGTGCAAAACCAACATTCCCCTATATCTTTCTTTCTCTAGACTTCATCAGGAGTAAGCTTATGATATGGTGAATTAGTGGTTCTATGTCTAGGAGGCAGGATGGGCAGTGGAGTGATTTTAGATGCTGGAAGGGTTCTAAGATTGAGGACACGCAACTCATAAAGTTTAGCATCAACCGGAACAACTATAGATATGACATCATGAACAGACACAGCATTCAACAATTTGACATCATAAATCAATTCCCATTTTAAACTTCCAAGGAAGCAACTCTTGAGGAGCACATGACCAACATCTGAAGCACAATTAATAAGCCTACAAAATTCAGTCACATAATCCATAAGAGTACCTGTTTGGCACAATTTGAAGAGTGCCTTAGTACAATCCTCAAACTCAGATAGCCTAAACTTCTTACAAAGTGCACTAGTAAATTCCTCCCAAGAATGAGTAGTAAGGATGCAATTGCTCCATTTGAACCACTGCATCGCTTCATTCTCCAAATAGAAATAGGTTGTAAAGACCTTCTGAGGATCTAGAGTGTTGTAACAAGCAAAGTATTGCTCAGCCTTATAGATCCAAGTAACAATGTCATCGTCATTGGAAAATTGGGGAAAATCCACCCGTTGTTGCCAATGAGGCCTCAGAGCTCTGCCTTCTATGTCAAACTGATCATGACGAGGTGTGCGAGAAGTCTTTAAATCGAAATTGGTGGTGATCAGTGCTGGATTGGAAGATCCGGCACCCCCAGAAAGGATTGTTCGCACCAAAGTTGCTCAAAGAAGAAAGTTAACTTAGCCTCAAAATCAGCGGAGAGTTTAGTCGAGAGCTCAGCATTCGTGGTGGTGATGGAGGATCGAAGGAAATTGGGAAGGTCTGCCAGAGTTTCTTCAACAGTAGTGAGACGAGCATACACGGTGGTTAATCGAGTCGTCAAAGCGCGATAGAGCATATAAGAGGGGAATCGAAGATCAAGAAGGATGATACCAATTGATATACACCAAATCTCATATTTCCTAACTCAACCTGCAAGCAGCAATGGCAATGGCAGAATAGCAATGAAGGATAAGCGAGAGAGAGAGAGAGAGATAGATAGATGTTTTTGTAATATATTTCTTTTCTAAATATAATTGTTACCCATTTTCTTTTACAATTGGCTACATATATTGTTCCCCAAACACTTAAAGCCAGCTGGCATAACTAATCACTTAAATTGAAATAATTATTTAATTGCTAAACTATGATTAAGATAATCACAGATATAACACACAGGCGAAACCGAAGATGGAAGAGCATCACCATCAGCGACGATTCCAGCTCTGACATCAAGAGGGGCAGCTACAAAGAATGGAAGAGTAAGAACAGGAGGATACGGCATCGTTGGTGGGTCCAGGTGTTCGATCTGGACTATCGATCGGTGACTTAGAACACGATTTGTTCAGATCCAATGACATTGATGCCTTAAACCCCGAATGCCTTAAACAACTCTAAATTGGGTCTGATTCTACTGTCTAAATCTGCCAAAAGCAAACCGGACATTTGGTATAGCTTTTTGATGTGGCTCCGAGTCAGCCCGTGAGCTCTAAACATACTCAGTACCGAGTCAAGGTTGTGGGTGGTTATGGGTTCGAGCTGGAGCTTCATGGAAGCAGAAATGGTGGAATCTAGAGACAAACCACATGATTTTTTAAGGTAGCTGTCGAAAGTGGAGGTTGGGAACTGAAGTAGGAGTAGGAAAGCGAGGGTGAAGATGATGCATTTAAAGGTGGGTTTTGGGGGATTTTACAGAGGGAAGTGGGTTTTGGGAAATTGAATATGAGCAAGAAGGTGCGGGGGAAGAGGGAGGGGGATAACAAAAAAAAAATTTATATTTTATTTTAATTTTTTTAAAATTTTTTGAATATCCACGTGGACTTATATTAACACATGTCGTCCTGTCATTGTTCATACGGGTGCCACGTCATCAGTTAACAGAAATTTTGATAGAAAACTTAACAGATGTATGAAAGTGTCCCAAAATTAAGACTTTAGGTACCAGACTGGGACGAAAAAAACTTGATATATGAAAGGTTGAAAATCAAAAAACTTCAAAGTAATAAATTGAGATTATAACCCTTTTTGTTTATGTTAACATGTGGATGTTTCCTTTGTTTTTTCACATACAACCATAAAAAAAAAAATTTAATTTTAAAAAATAAATAAAAACTACTTAAACCTTCTAATTTCCTTTTGTTTTTTCTTTGGGGTGGTTGCTATTGCTTTTACCCTCCATAATTATCTATCCGATAAGTGTCCCACTCATAAGCACGAGAAATGGGAGAGATTTTTCAATGTGATCGGTATACAGGATAGTACACCATATGTCACTATACAAATAGTGGGATATGTGTTCTAAAAAGTTAATAACTTAAAAATGAAATTTCTCATCACTTCTATTAAAACACACAGTGTACTACTTGTGTTCCCGTCACAATTAAAATTTTCTCGAGAAATGGAAGCTAGACTAATGAATTTTTATTCCTGGGCTATCCTACTCAATGTTTAAACATGAGATTTTTTTTTTTTTAATTTTTTCTAAGATATATGTATATATTTGCACTTAATAATATGGCCTAATAACTCACTTCACTGACGAGGATGTGACCTAATTATTATGACATACTAATTGTGTAGCTTAACCCAAATTATGCATTTCTCAGTGTAAATATATCATTGTATTCTTTTAAGCCTCTATTGACAACTTCCCCAAATTTCACTAATAGGAAATAAGAACATTCTATATGTAGAGAGAATTATTGCAAACTGTCCAGACTAAATATGTGATCTAGTTTTAAAAAAGTAATGAGAAATATTGCAGAGTGATGGAGTAGAGAGAGGGTGGCCAAAGGCCACTTGCTATAGTGAGCATTGATGAATGATGAGTGGTAGGCTGCTTTGGCTTTGCATTTCAAATTCATCTGAATTTTTGCTAAAACTTCATTTCTTTACTTTTAAAAAATGAAGTGGCATGCTATCAACTTGCCATTTAATCACATGTTGATATATCATCTCAACAAGTAGCACTTAAAAATCCCCAATTGGACACCACATCCACATCCTCTCTATCCTTCCACCTTCGTGGTTCGTGCTACTACTCCCTCCACCCTCCTCCGCCGGCTGCAGGGCCCGCACGTGCTTTTCACTCCCGCTTACATTAAAAAACGAAGCCCTTTATAAATGAAAGGGTTCTCCTTTCATTTCATTTCATCTCAATACAACTCTCCACTCCGCACTCCACCAACACAACCACCGCAAATCCAAATGGCTCTCATCCGTGAACGCCGCCAGCTAAACCTTCGCCTCCCCCTGCCCGACATCTCCGAGCGCCACCCCCGTTTCTCTCTCCCCCTCCCTCCCACCGCCCCCACCACCGCCGTCACCACCAACACCTCCTCCTGTGCCGCCATCTCCGCTGCTGACCTCGAAAGACTCGAAGTCCTCGGCCATGGAAACGGCGGCACCGTCTACAAGGTCAGCCACAAGCGGACTTCAGCCAACTACGCTTACAAACTCGTCCAAGGTGACTCCGACCCCACTGTCCGCCGTCAGCTCTTCCGCGAGATGGAAATCCTCCGCCGCACAGACTCTCCCTACGTCGTCCACTGCCACGCAATCTTCGAACAGCCCTCCGGTGACATCGGGATTCTCATGGAGTACATGGACTCCGGCACCCTCGAGACCTTGCTTAAATCCAATGGCACCTTCTCCGAGCCAAAACTTGCCTACGTGGCGCGGCAAGTTCTTAACGGCCTCAACTACCTCCACACCCACAAAATCATTCACCGCGACATCAAACCAACAAATCTTCTAGTAAACAGTCACATGGAAGTAAAAATCGCCGACTTCGGCGTGAGCAAGATCATGTGCCGAACGTTGGACGCCTGCAACTCCTACGTCGGAACTTGCGCTTACATGAGCCCGGAGAGATTCGACCCGGATACGTACGGCGGCAATTACAACGGCTACGCCAGTGACATATGGAGTTTGGGGCTGACCCTGATGGAGCTCTACATGGGTCACTTCCCGTTCTTGCCTCCAGGTCAGAGACCAGACTGGGCCACCCTCATGTGCGCCATATGTTTTGGAGAGCCACCGACCTTGCCGGAGGGGGTGTCCGAGGAGTTTCGGAGCTTCATGGAGTGTTGCTTGCAGAAGGAGTCTGGCAAGAGGTGGTCCGCCGCTCAGCTTCTGACCCACCCGTTCGTCTGTAAAGATACCGTGAGGATGTGAAGAATCCGTCGTGGGGAAGTTTAGAAATCTTTACAAGGACGAGCTGGGTAATTAACTTGGGTTATTGTCTGCTAATTGATCAAGGCCTCATACTCCTCTATACTAATATGTTGTCGGTGGATTTTTGGTGGAACTTCAACTTTTTTGAAGATTCAGAATTCGTTTCCTGCTCGTCAAACCTTCCCGTGTCAAATATCCGTGCGAGTGGATCCGGCTGTAATTATTTGTTAGTCGCCGGGTTTGGCATGAATTTTTCGGATACTAGTTACTGTAGGAATTTTATGATCTTTTGTATATACTGGCCGGATTCGGATTCTT